AAAGAAAACAAAAATCCTCACCACTGGACCAATAAACAACATTCTTATCAATGGAGAAAAGATTGACGTTGTCAAGGACTTCACTCTTCTTGGATCAACTATCACCACTCATGGAAGCAGCAGTCAAAAGATCAAATGATGTTATTGCATTAGGCAAATCTGCTGCACAAGACCTTTTTAAAGTGTTGAAGAGCAAAGATGTCAGCCTCAGGACCAAGGTGTGCTTGACCCAAGCTGTGGTATTTTCAATCACCTCATATGCATGCGAAAGCTGGACAGTGAATAAAGAAGACTGTAGAAAAATTAATGCATTTGATTTACGGTGTTGGAGGAGAATATTAAAAGTGCCATGGGCTGCCAAAAGAACCAATAGATCTGTGTTGGAAGAAGTGCAGCCAGAGTGCTCCTTGAAGGCCAGGATGGCCAAACTTCGTTTCTCATACTTTGGACATATTGTCAGGAGGGACCAGTCACTGGAAGGACATCATATTCGGTAAGGTGGAGGGTCAGAGTAAAAGAGGAAGACCCTCAATGAGATGGATTGGCCAAGTGGCATTGATGGACTCAAGCATGGCAATGGTAGTGAGGTTGGCCCATGACTGGGCAGTGTTTTCTTCTGCTGTGCATAAGGTTGCTATGAGTTGGTCCCAACTCGATGGCACCTAACAACAACAACAACAAGGCTTAAAATTGAGTTGGGGGAATAATCCACTGTTTTGTTAAGTGTCATTGAGTCATTTCCAACCCACAGTGACCTTATATAGGGTTTCCAAGGAGCAGCTGATGAGTTTGAACTGACCTTGCAGTTGAGTGCTTACCCTACAGCGCCATAGCGGGACTGATAACTATTGTGTATGTGTAAGGAAGATAATAAATTATACATAGGGGATAGCTTTATCAAAAACAAGACCTTAACAGCTACTTCATTATTAGTAGCAGCAACAAAACTTTTAGCCACAGTTGTGACAATTTGACCATCAACAAGAATAACTACAATGGATTGAAACACAATAAAAAGAAATGTATGAGTTAATGATTATACTCAAAAAAGTAAAAGCCTTTTTTTAAAAAAAAGAATATGCCAACATTTCAGACAACTATTGAACCAACGTCTTACTTTGACAGTTGATAATGAAATGCAAATAATAAAACATTCAACTTGCCTTTCCAGTAAGAACTTATTTCAGATAGCTCACGTTGAGGATGGAAAACTTGTTTACATCGAAACACCAACTAATAAATGCAAAAGAAAATAGTATGTAAAAAAAAAATCTATAAACCATAATAAAAATTACTAATTGAGGTAAGGATTATCAGTTGCTGCTAAAACTCCTAGGTGAATGATTAATAGGGACTCAGCATTCATTTCATACCAAAGGAAGACCAGACAAGATACTCACTAGCGACAAAGGGGAAAAGTTCAATGGAGGACTAGACTTACCATGATGACCTTACCACTAATGGAGGTCAACCATAGTCTGTGCTTTCTGATGTGATACATTATGAGCTTGATATCACTACTATGATATATACTATCCAAAAGGTCTAACTTGACTCCATGAAGACTTTAGACAGAACTTCAAGATTGCAGGAACAAATACCTAAATACCTCAGGGGAAAAAAGTAGATTAATTTCCAGGACAGGATTCTGCAGGACATGCCCTGATGTCCCAGTTTGTCTAATCATTCAGTGTATGAACAAAGGAACTATATTAGTTTAAAACAGATTTAAGCAACTTTAAAGGATGCAACCAGTTGCAGAGTCATAGAAGGAACACCACAGCTTAGACAAGCCCACTGCAGATGTAGGCTACCTGAAGTATGTTCTTGGTATTAGATGAGGTAAAAATGTTTTGGAATGAGGAAATGTGATGACTGTTGGCTGAAAACAATGTCAAAATGCACTATTTAAAGAATGACCTTATTTGGGTTAAAAACTGTGTAGAGATAACATAGAAAAAGACCTGAAGGGATATGCATTAAGGTGTTAACAGTGTTAATTTCTGAGTGGTGGTAATATTATGTTTCTTTTCTTATTTTTGCTTGTCTACTTTTCTCATTTTCCATGCTGCACTTGTATTGATTCTAAAATAATAAAGCTATTCTAAAACCAGAAGTCCTAGGAAACTGGTTTCCTCCCTCTGTTAGGTAACTGTGATTACAGAAGGTCTATAGATCCTGGTGTGGTGCTGTGGGTTAAGTGCTGCTAACCACAAGGCCAGAAGTTCACACCCACCAGTCACTCCTTGGAAACCCTATGAGTCAGAGCCAATTGATGGCAATTAACAACAAAATATATCCACAAATGCAGAAACAAGGCAAACACTATCCATCTGGTAACAACATATCCTATTTAAGCACTTAAAGGAAACAAATTCTGGCATGCTTGGTTTGCAAAATAACACTAAAAAATAAAAGAAACATCACTGCATAATAGAAGCAGGCAAGAAGCTAAGGGAATTATTTTTGAAATATTCAATGAAAGAAAACACACACACACACAAGTAAGATACATCTTGCTAGGCGTCATTTACCCTCCAAGCCAAGCTGTGACTACTAGTATTTAGCCTTAGAAAAGATCCTAGTGTCTAGTCTTTAAAATGTGTAAATTAGTGATTTCACAAGAGGCTCCTGACCCATCCCTGACTCCTCTATGTCTCAGGAGTGGCATTTGGCTCTGAATCCTCCTGGGGAGGAAGAGCCAAGGCTTCTTGTTCACCAAGGACCTCTCGAACTTGGCAGCCTAAGACTGCATCATGAATGCTATAGAACAGCAGATCCTTTAAAGCAGGATTTTCAAAAAATTTATTTCGAGTGAGGTCATTCACTACTTGTGCTACAAAAAAAAGAAAAGAAAATTAAGTCATACTCTGGGTATCTGTCTTGAACATTAAAAAACAAAACAAAAACAAAGGTAACAAAAACCACACTGATAGTTTAAATATCAACACAATATAGAATGATTTCACTCCAATCCCTTTCCACATCACACCTTATACCCAGTCCCAGGAAAGCTACTTTTATTAGTTTCTTGGGTATTCTTCTAGTAGTTCTCTATGCAAATATAAACAAACATAAATTCTGTCCCTTTTCTTATGTAAAAGAGAAACAAAATTAATCTGTTAAACATCTTCCCAATCTAGAAGTGTACTCACCACTGCATCCTGCTAGATATACATAAATACCGACGTCTCCATATTCTTTTACGATCTGCAACAGTTTTGAAATAAAGTTTAGTTTCTCTTGACTTAGTACCTGAGGAAACCTCTCTATCAAAATGTATGTCAGAGACATAGGAAACTAGTTCATTTGCTTGGGCTACTTTTTTGAATAATCATGTATTTTTGAGCAATCATTTAAAAATAATTTTATCTTTCTTTCGAGTTTTACATAGTGATAATTAAAGATATTGGGGAATTATTGTAAATTGTATTTATGTCTACTAAAGGTATATAATAATCCTCTTCTTCTAGAGGCAAAAACTGAAATATTTACAGATGATGGAATGAATGGGATGTGCATGAAAATAATCAAAGAAAGGGGGTGTGGATGTGGGTGTAGGAGGGTGAAACAAGATTGATAATTGTTGAAGCTGAGTCATCTTGACTCAGGGATTCTAATCAGTATATTCTGTACTTTCGTGTATTTTTGAAAATTTCCATCATCAAATGTTGAAAAAAACAACAACAAAAGAATTAAAAGATGAAAAAGGACCCTAGTTCAACGACCTAATTTTACTGATGGTAGAACTGGGCACACAGATACTAAAAGATTATTCAAGATGATGCTTACGTCTGCAAGAGTTTTCACTCCAACAGAATCAATAAAATTGACTTGTGTAAAATCTAGAATGATAGTGTGGACATTATCCCCTTGAGGCATAAATCTTTGCAGCTCTTCAGGAAATGTGCTTTTAATGACGATTGGCGGGTATTTTATTTCATCATCCTCTTCTTCAGGCTTGGTACCATCTTCTCCATCAACTTCTGCATCCTATGTCAAGAATTAAATCAAATCAGTGTTCTTTAAGCAAGGCACACATTTCAGTCTCAGAAAGATTTACAAAGGAAATTCAGAATCTGCCCTTATATTCTCAAGCTACTGACTACACCAGATGCCTTCTAAAATATTTGATATATCAAGGTAAATTGCGTGACTTAGTTCGCAAAGACAACGTTCTACATCCTGCTTTGGTGAGTAGTGATTAGGGTCTTAACAGTACAACAATTGGTCTCTCCCTGTCCGGAGGAAAGCAGAGTGAAGAAATCAAAGATATATGGAAATAGTCCAATGAACTATTGGAACACTCAAAGTATCCACAACCCTGAGCCAAAAAAAAAACCAGATGATGCCTGGCTGCCACCACTAACTGTTCTGAAACGTATCACATTAGAAGGCTCTGGATACAGTGGGAGAAAAATGAAACACTGAAAATCATAAAAAAAAGACTAGGTTCACTAGTACCTCTGAGACAAAATGACCCTTAGTTACCTTCAGGTCTGGAAACGAACTCACCCCTGTGACGCAATTTTCAGCCACACAATACACAAAGCTCTAAGGGGGTCTATAACGCTAGGGAAGTACAACACCTGACAATAATCAACCATTTGAGATCAAAAGGGCAGCATTTACCCAAAGGCAAAGTTTAGAGGGTCAGGAAAGGAGGAATGGAAGAGAAAACAGCGAAGGAAGTGGATAAGAGATGTTACATCTTGGGAATTGCAATCAATGATATGAAACAAATGTGTATGGTGCATGAATTGTTCAATGGAAAGCTGATTTGGTCTGTAAACATTTCACAATTCACAATACAAAGTTAAAAAAAAGAAAAGCTAATGATAAAATGTGTTTCCTCTCTCCTCCTCTTTCCCTCTGACTATCCTAGGGCTAATACTTTTTTTAAAAAATCACTTCTGTTTTTATTCCCTCAAGCATCAATAAAATAGTTGCATTAGCATTAGTACAACAGGCCACAAGCTACCATAAACCTAAACAGCAAAAAGCAGCCTTTAAGCTTTTTTAAAAATTATTATCAGATAGATAAATCTATGACAAAATGATAATGGCAAAATTTATACTAAGGTACTGTGTGATTTTTATTTTTGTCAAATCATGTTCTCTTGGCTGATATCACTACTTACAGTAAGAGCAATCTTTGTTTTTAAAGCCTTTATCTGCCTGATTTTTTTTAAAACTTTTTATTGTGAATTGAGTGAAGATTGACAGATGAGATCATCAGTTTTACAGTCAACAAGTCATACACTTTGTTTCTTCTCAATGATTGCAGGCCCACCCCCACCCCCCCTGCAACAACAGTCATTCTGCTTCTTCCCTATGGTTCTTATTTCCATTCCACCCTCCTTTCCAGCCCTTCTCAACTATGTCCTGAGGTAAATGTTGCCCTTTGGATTTTGAATAGTTGAGCATACTTACTAGTAGAGTTGCCCCCTCTATAAATGTATCTACTGTTTGGCTAAAAGTTGGGCCATTAGGGTGAATTCCTTTCCAGACCTGATGGGTGGTCGAGGGTCATAGTCTCATTTTCCTCCAGTCTCTTTGCGATCAGTAAGCCTGGTTTTTTGTTTGTTTTTTTTAAAACTTACTTTTGTTCCACATTTTCTTCCACTTTATCTGGGACCTTTTAAAGTGATCCCTTACAGAACAGTTGGTAGTGGTGACCAGGCACCATCTAGTTCTTCTGATCTCAGAGTCATGGAAACTGATGTTCACATGCTCTAGTAGTCCTTTGGACTAATTGATTCCAAGCTCTTCAATTCTCATCACTCTCCTTTCTTCTGCACATGGAGACCAACAGCTGCACCTTGGATGGCGGCTGCTCATGAGCTTTTATGATTCCACATAAGTTACTCACCAAAGTAGGAGACAAAATGTTGTCTTTATGGACTGTATCATGGTCAGAGCATTCAGATAGCTGATATCTTTAAAGGATAGTTTCGAAGTCTCCCTATTTTAGGAATTTCATGCTATGTTAAACTTTAACCATGTGGTTGCACTGCAGATCAAGAGAGAAGAGAAAATAGCAACTCAGAGACCACTCACCGCTTTGACAACACTGGCATTGGTCATATTTGCATTTCCAACTTCCTTAGCATACTTCTTCATGGCCTTTCTTCTTGCACCCATTATGAGTGCTGGGTTCACTCTAGTCTATAGAAGGGCAACACATGTAGAATCATTTCAGAGCTCTTAAGAACCTCAAAATGCAACTCAACTTCTAATCTTCATATTTAACTGCTTTCTTTACCAAATTACCACCCTTACCCTCAGTGCTATCTTTCCTTTAGATCAGGGATGGGTAATGTCTGGCCCACAGGCTATAAAAAGGCCTGCAAAATTATTTGGTCTGGCCCTGCCAAAGCAACTGCAGTTCCAGCCATCACATGAGGGGTCGTTAATTAACTGTTTGACCAAATATAGCTGTCTAGTTGTTAGGTTGATAATTCTGTATGGCCTGTGAACGATGTTATAAATTTTGGCAGGAAAAGGTTCCCCATACCTGCCTTAGATGCTCTGAACATCATAACAATCTCCTTATTTAAAAAAAGAAAGAAAGAAAGCACTGGTAGAATTTCTTATTTTCAGTTTTGATTTAAGACAATCAGAAGCAAAAACATTAAAGACAATTTTAGAGTACAAGTTTTCAAACTTCATTTGTTCATGGGCACAAATTGGAACGAGGAGAAACAGTTGTAATATCCATTACAGAAGCAGCCTGCCATACTTTCTCTCCATACTTCGGATATATATCAGGAGGGACCAGTCCCTTGAGAAAGACATTATGCTTGGTGGAGTAGAGGCTCAGCAAGGAAGAGGAAGGCCCCCAAGGGGATGGATTGGCACAGTGGCAGCAGCAATGGGCTCAAACGTAGCAATGATTGTGAGGCTGGCGCGTCACTGGGCAATGTTTTGTTCTGTTGTGCACAGGCTCATTAGGAGTCAGTACCGACTCCACGGCACCTAACAACAGCAGTAGTTTTCAAATTTAGATCTTCTCGATTCTTACATGTAAAGGACTCTGTCTGTTGAATTGGGGGAGATTTTCCTACATACTGGGCTGTGTGGGACCAACTTTTAATTCTAACCAATGGAAACCACATGATTCCAAGAAAAAAACAACGATTTTTCCTTTATTTTCTTTTAAATGTTTTAAAATAGTAGGGTGTATATATATATATATATATGTATATATATATAAGAATCAAATCATATAAAAGATTATATATGTATATATATATATATATATGGTATATATATATGAGAATCAAATCATATAAAAGATGATACAAAGACAATTATCTTGCCCTCATATTCCCACCTGCCAACCCCTCAAGGCCCCTCCCTCAGAAATAACCACCTGAATTTCTGTGACTCACCTTTCTTTTTAATGCATTGCTATACAAGTCACTATTTGCATAATAAATTGGGGCATTTATTTGGAATATTTTAATTCCAGGAATTTCTTTCACCTGAGGAGTAAAACATTCGTGAATGTAACACATGGAAACATATAAAAATCAAAGCTGCATTTGTCTTTCCCTCAATTTGAAAAGTAGCATAGACGTTTAAATGTCACACCACCCTACCTAATCAACCTGTTACAAAACACCATCTTCCCAGTTCTTCTTAAAGTCTTTGTCTCACAATTATCATAAAACACAAATAAGAAAGAACTAGAAAATAGTAAAAGAGAACAGATGATAGATAAGAGAGAAAGGAGGCTACCCTCCTGACAGTGACAGGTCAGTAGTAAATGAACAAAGGTTTATTTATTTATTTATTACTATAACTATTTATTACTATAAACAAAGGTTTGTTTATTATTATGAACATTGGCTTGAATCCAGGGAATTCAAGGAAGACACATGTGAAACAGGAAATATTTAATCAAGGAGCCTTGTGGATCCGTAGGGTAAATTCTTGATTTTTATGTCTTTGCTGAAGGCCTCCACACATATTACATTCCCAGTGCCAGAATATCCAGCAAATAATTCTCTGGGATGAGGGGAAAATAGCAATCCTAAAATTAGCCTCATTTCCTAATTCATTATAGTGAATTTGAGAATGTCTTCTCACGCATAGAACAAAATCAGTAGACAAAACTAGATTAAAGAGAGTTTACAAAAGTCTTTGAGATTCCATAAAGGAAAATCAAGAACTTTCTAAACTATAATAATTTTATCCACTAAAAATGAATTGGGAGAGTCCCACAGCCCCAGCGAGCATCTCTTACATTCTTACATGGTTAGAAATTAATATTTTATCCTTTGCTCACATTTCACCAGAAGAAAAACATGAACATAAACTATCTTCTCAAACAGTGTAGTATTTTATAAATGTACATTTAATTGTAAAACTAGATATTTATTCCCCTAAAAACAAGAAAACATATATTAAGAAGTGGAATAGTTAATATTATTGTATTATGTACTATACAAGTAAATTTGGAGAGTAAATTGAAGTTCAAGTTTTTCACTTTGGCCACTACACCTCCCACCTTTACTTTTTTCTTAGATAAAAACAGTATCTAGTCAATCACACCAAATAGCTACAAACATCTGAAAATGTCAGAAAAAGATCCTACCTCCTCATATGCATCTATATCAACATACACATCAGTGTCAGGAAGCTGTCCCAGGACTTTGTAGCTAGGGCTGGAGAGAGAGAGTGAGCATGTTAAAATACCATAGTGTTGAAGTGCAGTATGTGATTGAAACACAAGATTTGTCATGTTCGTATGTCCTGCATGGATTTGTCAGTAAATACGAGAATTGATTCTTTATCAGCGCCTTTGCAAAAGGGCTCCACGTGTGTCATACTCACAGTGCCATTCTATAACTAACACATGACTTCCATACACAACCTCATGCCACACTGCACACACATATCACATATACATACACACACGTACACACTCCACACATCACCCCACATCCACTACAAACACTTGACACACATGTACCACACTCCACACAAATCATGCCAGGGATATGCGTAACTCAAGTCCTCATGTCTTTCTGTAGATAAAACTGCCTTCCTGCTTTAATTCTAAAATAGAAGGGATTTCTTTCTTTCTTTTGTTGTTGTTGAGAATGGACAACTTGATTCTGCCATGTCTACATGTCCAATTCAGTGACCCTGATGACATCCTTTGGGCTGTGTGACCACTTTCATCTTACTTTTTGAGTTGCTCCTCCCTGGTTTACATAAACTCTCTGCTCCCTAACGTTCCTATCCAACCTTTCAAGTTGTGGCTGTCTCTTGTTCTTGAAAGAGTATAGTGCTCGGGGCAGTCTGGTTCTGTAATGGTGACACTGTAATAATGACAGATATTGGCATTACTTCATTATACCCTAAAAACCATGGCTGACATTGTGTAGATGAGAAACTGAGGCTTACGGGGATTAGATGAGTTGTCCAAGGTCATAGAGCCTTGCAGAGTCAGAATATGGCTCAAGGTCTTTGGTTAGAAACTCCTTGGTCTTGTCACTCTGCCCTGGGGCTCCTTTCTAGTATGTATGTGAAAGTGCTTTGTAGATTAGGATATATAATACAAATGTTAGCTTCTCGTCTAAGTAGATTCCCTCAACACTATTCAGAAAAGATAGCCCATGTGTCTGATACTAGACACAGCCCTATAATCAGTCTAATGGTATCTGCAGACCAATGTAAGACTGATGACTGATACTGTACATATAAGGCCAAGGGGGTATGCAGGTGTTTAGGAAGAGGGTCACATCCAGATCTGTGAGCACGCAGTGTGGAGACCAGTTATAAGGGAAGAGTTCTGAGGAGATCATGTCAAAGCTGAGCCTTGAATGGCTGATCCATGGGAGTGGGGAAAGGTATGGAATACCAGTTGAAGCAGAAGCATTAGGAGTAAAGGCAGGGAAAGCCTGGAAGGCTCAGGGACCTGAAGGTTCTTCAGATTTGGGCAGAAGGGCATAAAAGGCCATTTAGAACTTTACAGCCCCCCCACCCTCACACCACCAACACCACACACACGCACTGTAATCTTCCAGACACACTGGTCTCTCACAGTCACTGTTAAGGATTGAACTTGTGTCCCCCACAATACGTGTTATAGATCCTAACCCTTTACCTGTGGTTCTAATCCTATTTGGGAATGGGCTTCTTTGTTCTGTTAATGAGGCAGTATTAGTGTCAGGTGCATGGTGGTTCTAGAAGATAAGCACTGAACTGTGAGCCACAAGGTCAGTGGTTGGAGCCCACCAGCCACTCCACGGGAACAAGACTAGGTTTTCTGTCCCCACAAGGATTTGAAGCCTCAGAAACCCTATATATGGTCACTATGAGTCGGGACCAACACAATAGCATTCAACAACTTCCTACATTACAATTAGTGTAGGGTGTGCCTTAAATCAATCTCTTCTGAAATAAAAGAGAAGCTTGAGCAAGCAAGCAGAAATAGGGGAAGACAGACGCCAAGTCACCAGAAGATCACCGAGGAATGGAAGCTGAAAAGAGACAAGAACCAACAGAGAGAGAAAGCCTTCTCTTAGAAGCTGCACCCTGGATTCAGACTTCTAGCCTCCTAAACTGAGGAAATAAATTTCTGTTTGTTACAGCCACCCACCTGTGGTATTTCTGTTAGAGAAGCAAAAGAAAACAAAAGCAGTCGCTCTATCCTTGAACTTACTCCTAACTCCAGACCTCTAGACAGGCTGCTTCCCTAGCTGAAAGCAACTCGTATCTTCTCTCTAGCCATCTGGTTCCCACCCACCTGAAAGGACCTGAAAGGCTAATCTACTCCAAAAACATTTTTTTTTTTTAAATTTCCAGTTTAAAGCATTTTACTTTTCAAAGAACAGCACATAAAATATCAACTTTTGTTAATCATTTTAGGAAGTAAGAGAAATATGTTGTTGTGTTGTTGAGTCAGTTCTGACCCATAGAGACACTGTTTAAGGTTTCCAAGGAACGGTTGGTGAGCTAGAATCAATGACCTTGAGGTTCAAAGAGACTTTGCAGTCTAGCGCATTAACCCATAGAACCATTTTTAAAAACTTGACTAGCTTTAATATTTCTGATCAGAAACTATAAAATCATATTTGGCTGTAAAGACAAAAAGAAAAGATACCAAACTATATATTGTAACTGGTTAAGGGATATAGATATTTTTTAAGCCACACTGTTCAGTAAAGCTCTGATATAAGGAACTATCTATCATATGTACTAATATTACTCTATAAAAATGGGAAAAAAAAAACCTTTTTAGATAAAAATGGGAAATATTATTAGAACTTGTTATTAAAACTAGCTTAATTCTCTTGAGCTTAGAACCTGTATGGTCTCAACATTTTCCCCTGTCATTTTTGGTAAGTAAAATGACTATTTTCTATTCTGAGAGTGGGGAGCATCATCTTATTCTGCAGATGAAGGGTCAACATCCCCAGGCAAAAACAGATTAAACTAATTTTCATTCCCTCTTGTGTGAAGGAGAAAAGAACACTGCCATTTGTTAGGTGCAAAGTTGTGTCAGGAACTGAGCTGTGCTTTCTGCATGCATGGTTCTCAGTTGAACCTTATTATAATTTTTTGAGATAGCAATGATTAGTCCCATTTTACAGATGCAGAAACTGAGGCTCAGACTGGCTTTGTAAAATCACAGAGCTTATAAAGGGTGCAGCTAGTATCTGAATCTAGTTTGTCTGACTCTAAAATCTAGGCTACTTCTATGACTTAACATTTCTCTTTTTTCTTCTTTACTTATCATAGTGTTTTTTTAGGTTATTTCATACCTTCCACAGTGGGCTCAGCTTCCTACTAGGGAGAAGAGATGAAAGAAGGGAAAAGGAGTAACTGCATATGATAACTTGGTGTCAGAGTACGTACGCTCTGTGCCACTGAAATCTATGTCAGTATCCTGCACTAAAGCAAATTACAACAACACATTGTTCATTCACAAGAGGTAAATAAACCAGCGTATTATTGGGCCCATAGTGGCAGGAACAATGGAAGAAATTAGGCTCTTTCACCAAAGTCACTGACGGACATATGAACTATGACACAGCAGGATACCAGGCAATATTATATTGAATTTTTAATTCGGCATTTTTGTTTGCTTTAGTTAACAGACCTCATGAATCTTAAGAGTTTCCTCTCCCACCGAAGGGCTCAGTCAACAGTTGAAGTGAAGGCTCTTAGCTCAGCTGGGACACTCACTCCCAGCCCACTTTGCCCACTCACCTCTGGGTTCTGTAAATGACAGTCAACAGAGCAATGATCACAGCAGTAATCAAACCATAGTCCAGTCCCAGAAACAAAGAGGAAACAAAGGTGGTAAGCCAGATGGTCTAAACAAAAGACACAAAGCTTCACATCAAAATCATGTTAACAATTTAATAAGAGTTAAACACACACACAAACACACACACGTAATTAGTCAAAGCTACTTTTATTTTGCCTAAATGGATATTTCATATAAAGACAACTAACTTCTCTTTCTTTCTCACATTTTTATCAGCACTACTTCATTTATTCCTAAAACACAGTCACCTAACAATCAGCTTTATTACTTACCAGTTCTATTTTGCTGGTTCTCCAGAAAAAGGGGAGATCTGAGAATTGCATAAACATTCCTTTCAGGTTGACGATCACAATGGCCGACAGCACAGCCTGAAACACAGTACATCTCTGTATGCCTTTCCTCCTGGGTCCACAGGGCCTCCTTTGCCGGCTCCTCAGTGTCCTCTCCTGTCCTCCGCCTCCCTGTGACCTCTCTCCACTCCCTTGCTATGTAGTTGTGGTGTTACATTTGGAGTCATGGATACCAGGATTCTCAGGACTTGGTTATCTAAACCAGGCTTTGGAGGACCACCAGACTTATATGAGGGGGCTTCAAAAAGTTAGCGGAAAAATGGAATGAAAAGATGCTGAAATGATCTTTTTATTGTATTATAATAGCAAACCTATACCAGGGTCAAGAGATTCAGAATTAAACTTGGCACTCATGGAATTATTTCACTCAGGTGAAATAACCTTTTGCTTTATTCGGTATATCATTTTTGATCGCACCTATATTACTATATCAAGGAGCTCTGGTAGCGTAGTGGTTACGAATTGGGCTGCGAACCTTAAGGTCAGCAGTTTGAAACTACCAGCCGCTCCGCGGGAGAAAGATGAGGCTTTCTACTCCCGTAAAGATTTACACCCTCGGAAACCCTGTACAGGGTCGCTATGAGTCGGAACCGACTCAACGGCACTTAACAACAACAACAACATATTACTATATCAGCCAGGAAATGCTTCATGATTATAAGCCATCTCAGATATGAAAGAATAAGATCATAAAAGGTCAAAGACAGAAAGTATCTTTGAGATCAACCATTCCAAATTTACACTGTGTAAATTTGTAAACTGATGCCCCGAGGAGTTGAAATGACCTTCCCAAAGTTCTGTGGTAAACGGTTCATGGTAGAGGGTAGGGCAAGATCGTGGCCCTATCGCTGGTCCGTTTACTTAGTCTATATTACTAGGTCTACAGTAAAAACTCATAAGATAGTCACAAATATAAACAAATTAAATAACAAAATGGAAAGCCTCATACCAAGTCCACACTACACACCTGAGGTAATGATTCAAAGAGGAATCCGGTGGCTAATATGACCAGCAGAATCATTAATGAGGCCAAACAACCTGCAAGCTGAACAAGAGAAGACACATGGGAGGCTGGAGGAAGAGGCAGAGCATAATAAGTAGGTCTTACTCTTTTAAATAAAGGAGCTCTGGTAGTGTAGTGGTTACGAGTAGGACTGCTAACCTCACGGTCAGCAGTTCAAAACTACCAGCAGTTCTGCAGGAGAAAGATGAGGCGTTCTGCTCCCATAAAGATTTCCAGCCTCGGAAACTCTGTACAGGGTCACTATGGGTCGGAACCGACTCAGTGGCACTTAACAACAACAACTCTTTCGATCAAGGAGTTCTGGTAGCATAGTGGTTGCAAATCGGGTTGCAAACCTTAAGGTCAGCAGGTCAAAATTACCAGTTGTTTCGTGGGAGAAAGATGAGGCTTTCTGCTCCCGTAAAGATTTACAGCCTTGGAAACCCTGTAAACAGGGTCGCTATGAGTCAGAACCGACTCCACGGCACATAACCATCACCACCACCACTCTTTTGATAAACACTGTTGGAAGATCCAGAAAATATGAATTCCAAGAAATCATCCAAATGATTACATAAACCTGTAACTCCTTCCCACTACCTCTTTGAAATTTTAGTTTCCTTTCTAGCTTTTAAGCAGAAGCTGACATGTTTAAATACCCTTACTGAAATGTCATTGGTGGAAGTGGGAGAAAGCTGACCTGAGACCTACAAAACCCACAAGAGTTCAGACAAGTGTTCACTCTCCAGTATGGTAACCACTGACCACATGTGGCTCTTGAGCCCTTGAAATGTGGTGAATGTGACCAAAGAACGTAATTTATTTTCTTTTAATTGCATTTAGAATTAAGCCACAGGTGGTTAGTGGCTGCCATATTGGACAGCTTAGATATTGATCATTTCCATCATCACAGAAAGGACTATTGGCATCCTGCCCATTCTAGTCTCAGGGTTTCAAATCAACATATCAAGTCTGAACTCTGAGGCTTACTAGTAGCAGGGAATGTTGTGTAACTTTCTGTTTTAACTGGAGAATACGGCTCTTTTCTATAGATCCAGTTCCTTGTAATTTGCTTCACCCAAACCTGCCTTCCTCTGATTTGCACCACAGCTCACTGAAGCATGGATCTGCAGTCAGATTAGCTTTGTATAGTTCCAGAAAAGAACCACGGAATTAAAAAATTACCACTCTAATCACCTGTTCCGAAAGGCCAGTTGTATACACACCTGTGTCTTCCCACCAGTTCCCTCCTGAACAAGGCTTCGTGATAAGGAACATGAAATTGAAAAGGTCTGGAAGAGTGAGCCAATAGAATTGCACAGTCCCAGGGCAATGAGCTCCTTTTCCATGTGGAAACAAAGTATAAAAGAGAGAAGTCATTCTTCAGGAACAAATGCATAATGGCCCAATTAGTACACACTGTCAGAGGTTCAGGGGACCTCTTCATGAGTTGAAAACAGAAATTCTTGTATGTTTCATGGCAAGAAAAAAGACTTTGAATTTTATTTTATTACTGCATTGGAGATAAATTCCATGCTCCCCACCCAACCTCTTCCTCAAACACAATTTCTACCTCATAAATGATGCTGTTAAATTTTTTTTTTAAGAAAATGGCAGCAAGTGGGACAAAATATTTTTGTTGTTTAAGAGAAACCTATTGGTGTGTAGGGTCGGGTGGTGGCTCCAAAGGCTAAGCAGTTGGTAATTCAAGCCAACCTTGAACCATGAGAGAAAGATGGAATTTACAGCTCCCTCAAAGACTTAAAGCCTCAGAAACCCTATATGGGTTTGTTGTAAGTAGGTATTGCCACAGCACTTAATGACAACAACACTGGTGTGTAAGATTACTGGCATCTTGTAAATTGCTCATCAATACATGCACTGTCTCCCTGGGGCCATCGAGTCCTGGTCTTAGGGTTACCTCCTAGGGTTTTCCTAGTTTGATCATTGTATCTGGTATGAATGTGGGAAATCTATTTCCTTCTCAGAGATACACTTAGTGTTATAATAGGCATTGTCATGCTGGGTGGGTTCTGTAGCTATAATGTAAAAGGTGGTGGCTAACATAATTGTAAAATTTCAGGAGTGAATCATATACTCAAAGTGTAACAAACAAAAAGAGAAAGTTCCTAGCAGGAAAGAAATGGTTCTGGAAATACGTTTTTTTCCCCAGGCTGTGAGCTTTAAAAATTAGTATAGAACTAAAGGAGTTTGGTAAACTAAGCTTCACAATGGAGACTGTACTTTCCTTGCAGGACCCCTGTCTGTATTTCTGGGTCCTGATCACCTAGTCTACATAAATAATCAAAACACTGTGGTGCTGAATAAAATATATGCTACAAATACATTCATCACCCAAGTAAATGTTGATTTATTTTATTTTATTTTTTTTCTTACCAAGACTGAGAAGTCTAGTTCATTTGACTTCCAAATGCCAACACTTATAAAACACCTGCAGGAAGTTAATATTACCTGATTGCCATCAACTTGGTAGCCATGTTTATTTGCCAAGGTCTTGGCCATTGAGATGGTCACTGAAAATCCAACAATGGCGATGGCAATGGCGTCTACGTATACAAGGTGGAAGAGGCTGGTATCCGGATTGGCTGGAGGTAGTAGCCTGAAAGGTCAAGTTGACTTTAACCAGAGTGTGTGACCACCTGGGAAAGAAACATGCAACTAGAGGGGGAGTCTTCTAGGGGGTCATTATCTGCACCTGAGGTGATCAAAGCTTAGCTACTTGTTAACGCTGACCTTACAAAAAGGAAGACCCTCCTGGAAACAGGTTCTCTCCAGGTCCAAATCCTGATGATCCACCAGTTTTCTATGTGGGTGGGCCATCGGCAGAGATCAGATACCATTTTATTTCTAAAAGGAGTAACCTTACACCTGTGTGGCAAGTGTAATTAAGAAACAGAACCAGGAAGACAAAATGGTCAGCAAAGTGCTCAGATGCCACAGACATTTGAAACAAAGTTTTAGTGTGATAAGCGAGCTGGACTCTCTTAGAACACGGATTAAGTACTCACTTCTCTCTCTTGTTTGATGTAAGGACTCTGAGTCTATCGCCTCTTCCCATGTCATTAGCCCTTTACAGGTGTTTCTAACAAGAAAAGGAAGGGCAGAATCCTTTAATCTCACATGGGACTTTCCTGAAGGGGCCAAAAGTATGACTCCTGGAACCCCAGAATAGGAAACTGGGCTTTGGTAGTTTTATTCTTGTGATTTGGGGCCCTGTCCTAAAGGAACAGAACAGAGATTCCCTAGAATGTTATGAGGGAAGGGATACCAGAGGTGTGCAAAGGCACACTGCCCAAGTCAGGACATGGACTGAAATCATCATCATCATCAATTAATTGATGAATAAAAATTACTATTATAGCAACATTTATTAGATACTTCCTATATTCTAGATTCTCAGTTCATTTTATTACCTCCAATAGCTCAGTGAGCTAGGCATCATTATAATTCCCATTTTACAGAGGAGGAAAGTGAAGCACGGCTGGATAAGCAACTTGTCCGAGGTCAAAAAGCTTATCTACTGAGTCCCACCAAACCATGAGGACCCCACCTCCCTAGGCCTATTTCTGTTACTACATCATAACACAACTGATAAAAGGAAGGGGCGTCTCAAGTTCTGGGGTAAGGGAAAGGGAGGGAGAGGAACCTAACATCTATTAAGCCTAAATTATGTGCTAGATGCTGTAGGTATGCCATTTTATCTATCTTTACAACAACAATCTTATTAGATAGATACACTATTATCCAAATTTATAGGTTAAATAACAGGGCTTACAGATGTTAAGTAATTTGTCCAAATTGGACAGTCAGACTATAAAATCTGTTTCCCTTGCACTTTGCTGCTTAATAAACAGTTAACCGGAAGAGAAAGCCCAGCAGCAAAAGGAAGCATTTTGAAATGAATAAGAAAAGTAAACTAAAAACAGGATGTATTACCACAGTTGGGATCTTTAACAGTTCATGTATCACTTTTTGGCACTGCAGTCTTTCTGTTTTGGGGTATGTAGATAGATGCAGACTTCTGCTGTGGCTCTGTAGGGTCAGCACTGGACTGTGAATCACATGGTCAGCAGTCCAAATCCACCAGATGCTCCTTGGAAACCCTATACTGGATCACTATAAATCAGAACTGACTCGACAGCACATAACAACAACAACAAAGATAGACGTAGTAATTTGCTTTCAAATATGGCCACGAACAATTCCTCCTATTTTGGTGTGTGCATGCCACTCCTCCTAGCTAGAGGTCGAACCTAGTTCCCTCCTATTGAACCTAGTCTAGTCTGAGACTTGCATCTACAAAGAGAACGTGCTGGAAGTGATGTTGTAAAGAGTGGCTTAAGAGGCTGGGCTTTGTGGTTTCTGCTTTTCTTTCTTATTGCCCTGAGCTACCATGTAAAGAGGTCTGGCTACTCCACTGGAAACACCTTGTGGGAATGATATGTCAGGCAGCCTTCAGCCATTTCAGAAACTTCAGCAGAGGTATCAGAAATATGAGTAAAATCCTCCAGCATCATTCATACCTTCAGACATCTCTAGTTGCATGGGAGACCAGGAGAACCACCACCTAGCAGGGCCCAGCCCAGACTGAAGAACTGTGAGCAAATTAATGGTGGTTGTTGAAGCCAGTGTTTCATGGTAGCTTGTTATGCTGTATTAAAATTCAGACAACGGAACCACCACGATTATAATAAGCAGGTATGTAGATAAAGTATTATTTGGTTTTATCTTGGCTTTGAATAAAGTTTCAAAAAGATAAGGTTTCTGGGTAATCAAGTTCCAGAAAGATAAAATCTTTTTTTTTTCTATATTAGTTCTTCCATATGGAGGAAAGCGACATACATGGGTATAATATAAAAGGAAAGTCTTAGGTAGAAATTAGGTGGATTTAAATCATATGGATTTAACCCAGGAGCATATTTTTAAAAAAGAAAATCTAAATATAAGAATTTGTTATTTAATCAAATTATCTGCAATTAGTAACTGAATAGGATTATCTAATGGACCCAAACAAAGACTAAAGTTTATCACGTGACATTACTTTAGAGACCTGGGTGTGGGGTAATGGAAAGGATACAGGATGGGGCACCAGAAGAGTGAGTTCTAGGTCCAGGCTGGGACTCAGCTCATTTATTCTCTCAAACATTGTCTTCCCTGACACGGTCCCTAAAACAACCCCAGGCCCTCCTCCCCCTGACCCAGCTTTATGCTTCTCCCTGTTTGTTGGATTAGTATGTCTGTTTCCCCCAACAGAATCTAAGGAGTTTTTTGCTTGCTTGTTTTTGTTTTTAACTGCTTTGTCCTTGGTACCTAATAGGCCTCAAAAAGCATATGCAGAACAAGTGAGAATCAATGAACTTCCTGGTCTGTAAAATGGGGACAAAAATCCATATTGTCAATTGGGTTGTTGTAAGCATCAACTAAGATGGTGGCTATAAATGATTTTATAAATGATAAGCCGCAGGAGAAAAGCAAGGTGCTATTACTGTGCTGTAACTTTACGTTGTTGTTGTTAAGTGCCGTTGAGTTGGTTTCAACTCATAGCAACCCTGTATAGGGCTTCTGAGGAGCAGCTGGTGGGCTTGAATTACTTACTGACCTACGGTTGTAGCCTAGTGCTGATGCTACAGCACCACACCAGGAGTCCAGCTTTACAACGAATTATTATAAATAACATGTTTTTGATACCCACTTATTGCTGTGATGCTTGAGAGTTGAGTGACTATCTCTTCCTACAGCACTTGCTCCATGAGGCTGAATTTGCTATAAATATAAAGCGCAGCTCTTGTTCTCTTGGCTGCCCAGGAGACTCACAGATGGTACTCGAGGACAGGGCCTGACTGAGCCCGCTGTATGTTCAACATTGGAGCAAATGTCTGACTCTTTATTTTAGATATGGAAAGAGAAAAGAGGGTGATGAAAGAAAGAGTCAGAGAGAGACAGTAAAAGAGAATGACAGAGACATGGAGAGAGATAGCCAGAGGGTCACAGAGGGACAGCAAGACAAGGAGAAGCTGGTAACCACTCTAACTCCTTCAAACAGAAACAGAATAATAACAGTTTAAAATAAAGAGCTAGATAAAAGAACATGAATGCTTACTCTATGTTGTGTGCCACGCACTACATGAATTGCTTTACATGCATTATTCCCTCCTTACAGCTCTTACAACCTGTCCTTAAAGACAGGTATTAGTTACCATGCCCATCTGGCAGATGAGGAAACTGAGGCTTTGAGAAGATAAGTAAGTCATACCAAGTTCATACCACTAGTAAACAGTAGGCTAGGATTTAGGTCTTTCTGGCACCAAAGCCCATGTTCGTAATTCCTCCGCCAATCCAAGAGAGAACTTAATAACAAAATAAACCAAAAAGACAAACATGCAAACCCCCAAACTGTCAGCTCTTTGATATATTGGGGAAAGGAAAAAGCGCGAGAGATTATTTTCATTGCAATAGTATTATTGCAGGAGTAACCACTGGTTATTTCAGCCACGTTGTTACTTAAAATAAAAAGAATATCCTACCCCAGAGGGAGTGTTCCAACGACATCCACATTGTATGAGTCTTTCAAGTTAAACCCAGCTGAAATGCCAGTTCCCATTACCACCTATAACAGACATAAATACAAATGTGGCTTTATGGATGGAAATTCAAATGCCAAAAAATAAGCTTCAAGTTAGTCAAGTCAAACCTACCCTTGCTTGTAAAGTTCGGTTCAAAAAAACAATAATTATAGTTCCATCCAGCAATTCTCACCTGCCAATGGCTCCACTACCCACATAATGGACTTGACAGTGGCCCTCATTACTTCTTCCATGGTTTCTGCCTCATGTTATAGCGCTGGCTAACTGAATGCAACCAAGAGGCCATGAAACCTCTCAGGTGTTGGCCTTCTTTGGGGGCAGATAAAATGAGTCTCTGGCCAAGAAGTCCTACATAAAGGACACTGAACTATGTAGACTGAGCATGTATCATGACAGTGTACCCCTATAACAGGCCTGCTTGGCTTCAGGGTCCTCCTGTTGACCCTGTCCAGACAGCACCAAGTGTGGTTCGCTGTTCCCCCAGTGACCTGTACTTGCCTTCTCTCATTTCAGGGTCAGAGTGGAAGTACACAGAGCACTGCTGTACACAAGGTCATCTAGATTGCCTGGGCAGTGACTTTTACTTGGGGAAGGAAGTATGAGGGGACTTCATGGAGTTGCATCAAAATCAGCCCCACAGCACCCAACACCACCACCAACACTGCTATAGCACTTCCTGAGTTGCTTCGCATGTAGAGAAGAAATTAGCCAGGGAAGAGAGCAAGTGGTGGTCACTTCTCACTTCAGGGAACCAATAATAAAGGAAGCTTAGTATCAGATAATAGATAGATTGGCACAGTGGCTGCAGCTATGGGTACAGGTGTTAACAACGATTGTGAAGTTGGCCCAAGACCAAGCAGTGTTTCATTCTGTTGTGCATAGGGTTACTATGAATCGGTACCAATTTGATGGCACCTAACAACAACAACAACAATGATTAGAAACAGCAGCTGGATAGACAAAGGACACACATGTTTCTGGCCCTGTTGATGAAATACCCTCTTCTGCTTATGGTCATTACATTTTTCATCCTTCATTGCACTTGTTGTGAATCTCAAATTCAGAGAGTGCCCAGAATATTAAAATCTATGGGATATATGTGGCCCAAGTTTTTGAAGTATCAATTCTATGCAGTGTTAAATAATTTAAACTACTGTTTCCCTACCTACACAAATAGATGCATTATGAAATAAAATGCAAAACTTACCCAAAAATTTATTATAAAAAGAAATTTTATGCTTATGCGAGTCATAAAAACTCTCTTCTGAAACCCTTCTCTTGTCTCTGTTCTACTGAACACTTAGATAAAAAGTATGAAAAACACTGGCTTGAAATATCATGAAAAGACTATAATTACAATGACAGGAGCTCTTGTGGAGCAATGGTTAAGCACTAGGCTGCTAACCAAAAGGTCAGTGGTTTGAACCCATAAAGCAGATCTTCAACAGAAAGACCTGGTGATGATCTACTATAAAGATTACCAAAACCAAAACCCACACTCATTGCCACTGAGTTGATTCTGACTCATAGCGACCCTTTAGAGGGTTTTCAGGACTATTTACAGCACAGAAAGCCCCATCTTTTTCTCACAGAACAGCAGATAGGTTTAAACTGCTGATCTTGCAGTTAGTTGATCCCACAGTTCCACCAGAGTGCCTTTGTAAAGACTGCTGTTATTAAGTGCCCATCAAGTTGGAAGGCACTCATAGACTGAGAAGAGTTACCTCCTCAAAGTAAAGTTGACAACAATGATAGGAATGCAGTAAAGCTTTTGAGATCTTCATTTGCTGATAAGGCACAACTCAAAATGAGAAGAAATAGCTGCAAACATTCCTTAATAATTGAAATGTAGAATGGACGTAGTGTGAATCTAGGAAAAATGAAGTTATCAAAAATGAAATGGAATGCATAAAGATCGATATCCTAGGCATTAGGGAACTGAAATGAACTGGTATTGGCTATTTTTAATCAGACAATTATACGGTTCACTATTGTTCAACTTAGGAGAAATGTTGTCACATCCATAGTCAAAAAGAACATTTCAACACCTATCTTGAAGTACAATGCTATCTGCCATGGGATAATATCCATATGCTTACAAAGAAGCCCGGACTCCTGATGTGGTGCTATAGTATATGCAATGGACTTCGAACCACAAGATTGGCAGTTCAAACCCACCAGCCACTCCTCGGAAACCCTGTACAGAGTTGCTATGAGTTGGAATCAACTCAACAGCACTTAACAACAACAACAAATAAGGAAGCCCAGTTAATACCACTATTATTCAAATATATACACAAACCACTAAAGCCAGTGTTGATAAAATTAAAGAATTCTAGCAACTTCTTCAGTGTGAAATTGATCAAACATGCAATCAAGATGCATTGATAATTACTGGTGATTGGAATGGGAAAATTGGAAACAAAGAGGAAGGAACAGGAGTTGGAAACTATGGCCTTAGTGACAGAAATGATACTGGAGATCTCATGATTAAATTTTATAAGAATTATTCATTGCAAATATCTTTTATAAACAACAAAAAAGGTGACTCTACAGAGTACTGGTATACCATCTATGTATACCAGATGGAATACACAGGAATCGAACTGACCACATCTGATGTAGAGAAGCTCAATATCATCAGCAAAGCAAGGTCAGGGGCAGACAGTGGAACAGACTATCAATTGCTCATATGCAAGTCTAGGCTGAAGCTTCAGAAAATTAAAACAAGTTCATGAGAGCCATCATTTGACCTTGAGTGTATCCCATCTGAATTTAGAGACCATTTCAAGAACAGATTTAAAGCATTATACACTAATGACTAAAGACCAGAAAAGTTGTGGGATGGCAACAAGAACATCATACAGGAAGAAAGCAAAAGATCATTAAAAGGAGAGGAAAGAAAAAGAGAAAGGAAAAAAAGAAGACCAAAAAGGATGTCAGAATAAACTCTGAAACTTGCTTTCCAGCATAGAGATACTAAAACAAATGTGAGAAATGAGGAAGTAAAAGTTGAACAGAAAATTTCAATGAGCAGCTCGAGAAAGCAAAGTTAAGTATTACAATGAAATGTGCAAAGACCTGGAGTTAGAAAACCAAAACAGAAGAACATACTCAGAATTTCTCAAGTTGAAAGAACTGAAGGAAAAATTCAGTTGCAATATTGTAATATTGAAGGATTCTATGGAGTCCTTGTGTGGTGCCGCAGGACAATGCACAAGCCACTCCTCGGAAACCCTATAAAGGGTTGCTATGACTCGTTGGCACTTCACAATAACAATGGGAAAATTGTTGAATGATGCAGAAAGCATCAAAAGAAGATGGAAGGAATACACAGAGTCACTGCACCAAAAATAAATGGTAGGTGTTCAACTATTTCAAGAGGTAGCAAATGCTCAAGAACCAATAGTCCTAGAGGAAGAAGTCCAAAGTGCATTTGGCTTAAAGGATACCAGAAAGATGATTACTTGTGATTTATTAACTATGCAAAGGCATTTGAACTGTGTGAATGAAAAACCATGGATAACATTGTGAAGAATGGGTATTCCGGAATACTTAACCTGTACATAGACTAAAAGGCAGTACATAGGAACCTGTACATAGACAAAAAGGCAGCCATTCAAACAGAACAAAGGGATACTGAGTGGTTTAAAATCAGGCAAGTTATGCTCCAGGGGTGTATTCTTTCACCATACGTATTCAATCTGAGAAACTGAATTGTATGAAGAACGTGACATCTGCATTGGAGGAAGACTCATTAACAACCTTCAATAAGCAGAGAATACAATTTTGCTTGCCTAAAATGAAGAAGACTTAGTAAACAGAATTGTTAGGTATTTCTTTTGGCCTAGGAGTGCTATGAATCAAGACAATTTGGGAATCTTAGTCTTTTTATTCTTTTCAAAATGGAAACCATTTTCTTTTTGGTAACTCGGTGATTAAGCTCAGTTGCTAACTGACAGGTTGGGGCAATCTGCGTCTGTAAAGATTACAACAGATTTACAATCTGTGTCTGTAAAGATTTACACAAACCAGATTAAGGCAGCTCTACTCTAACCCTTTAGAGTCACTGTGAGCTGCAATAAACTCAATGGCAATGTGTTTGTTTGTTTATTTGCAGTTCATATTATTCATTTGTCTAAATTAAATATTGTAGGTATTTGATGGGGGCTGGAAAGAATTCTGTGTACAAATCATCACTTTTCCATATTCATTACATATGTAAAATATTAGCTTTATACACAAACAAGCACTCATACACATAAACACAAATATATATTACTTTGTACTAAAGCTGGCCAAAATTTAGGCTATGGGTTGGTACCAACTCGATGGCACCTAACAACAACAACAACAACAATTATCTCCTCACTACATCATCCAATACACACAGAGTTCAAATGAATGTTTTAAAATTAGATTAACATTTAAAATTAGATTAACCTTTAAATTCTCTTCATAGATACTGTTTCCAATTCATTTTTGATATATTTTAATTGTGAGGCAGTTATTTCAAACACTAAATGCTCTTAACTTAGATGTTTGTTGTTTTTTAACTAACATATGGTCATTACAAAAATTGAGACAATGACAAATGAGAACAAATCTCCCATCATTTAACCACTCCGAGCTAGTTTTAAAACATTTGTGTATGGGCTTCCGCATGTATCTTTAAAATCATATGTCTTCACTTCAAAGCTTTTTATTTTTTGTCACTGTATTTTTTAAACGTTCCCTTTGACAAATTTTAACCTTGTCTTGACAGAATGGAGTGAAGATCCTCCAACTACTCATCCCTCCCCATCCACTTTGAAATCCCTCACAGAAATATTTAAACATATTTTATGTAGAAATTAAACATAACGTAAAAAACTTACCGCAAAAAACTCTAAAGGAATGGGTGCCGGCAATTTCTCTTTAAATCTCTCATTAAACTCTTTGCCACCCAGCAGCAAACCAAAAACCATCAGCCCGACGCCTAGGGAACACACGTTGAGGTTTTTAACATTCTGCAACACAGCTACCGTACTCTGTAACACAGTGAACACTGGGTGTTTATATCAAGAAACAGCCCCAAGTAGAGACTTCCTAGTGCACGAGTTCGAACCTGCCAGTCCATGACTGCACATTTCAAGTTACAGCTTTCAGCTTCTCTTTGTAGCTTCCACCAATAAGGAGATGTTTCTACTTACTTCTAAACTCCAACAGTTTTTATTCTAAAGCGTAAAATCTTATCCAACAATCTTATCATGTTGACAGTAGCAAATCAATCCAAAGGTGAACACATGGGAAAGCTTTTAGGGGCTGCAACAGGTAGAAATGATTGTTAGCAGGTGAAAGTGAGATCAGGTAGGCTTTGAAATCAATGGAGTGCTGAGATTTGGAAAGGAACCCTGGAGGAGAGATAGAGAAGGAAGCAGAGAATCACGGGGAAGTTTGTTAAAAATGTAGATTCTAACTCTCTGGTAGCGTAGTGGTTACGAATCGGGCTGCGAACCTTAAGGTCAGCGGTTCGAAACTACCAGCTGCACCGCGGGAGAAAGATGAGGCTTTCTACTCCCGTAAAGATTTACACCCTCGGAAACCCTATACAGGGTCGCTATGGGTCGGAACCGACTC